TATTGTCTAGTCGCAAACATACATAAAATTAGTATGCATGGCTACCACTGCAAAAAAGAAATGTCAACAATACTCAGTCGAGTATTGTAGCTACTGATTTATTCCATCAACACAAGACTACACAAGACCTATGTGTTTGAAATGTATGGCTACACTTTCCCATAAGAGTATGTGTCCATGTAAATTGTAGAAGAATTTGGGAACGTCTCATAAAGACAAGAAGGATAAAGCACTGGAATATTTTCAAGGGTTGTAAGACAAATTTGAAACTAGACCTATACTGAAGAAAATGTTTATTCATTTTACATGACAAAGCTTTAATCACATCTTATGAGATATGAAAACTGACCACTAAGGAAGGAAAACCACACACTATGAGGGAATCCTTGATTTTGCCAGCAGTGTCCGTTATTTTAACAGTCATGAACCAATATGCTTGCGAAATTATGGAATCCATCCCTTTGAGCAATTCATTAGTGTTGAGGCATATTGACAAAATGGCAAAAGATGTTGAAAACCAACTAGTCTCACAGTTGAAAGTTCAGAAGTTTGCTTTGCAAATTGATTGTGTTTACAGATAACACAGAAATATTAATGGTTTATGTCAGATATCTGCACAATGAAAAAATTAAAGAAAAATGTGATTTGCTTGAAAGCTTAAAACAGACACTAAGGATGAAACAATTTTTGAAAAAATAAAGAGGTACTTCAATGAGAAAGATAACCCACTCAAGAACATTCTGGCTTGCGCTACTAATGGTGCTGCTTCTATGGGCCTTTGCTGACTGCCAGAAATAATGCAAATTGAGTCCACTTTAAGGGTTAGAGTTATTGCTAGGGAATCATGGGAATTGTGTTGTTTTTTTCTGAGACAATGAGCCTTCTCTGTCAGAGAACTCTGGTGCCATAATAAAATACAGTCCCCATGATTCCCTAACTCTAACCCTAACCCTTAAAGTGGACTCAATTTACACTATTTCTAGCAGTCTGCGAAGGCCCTATGACAGGTAGTTACATAGGATTTATTGCATATTTGAAATGTGTTATACCAGAAGTATTCTGTATTTACTGGGTAGTTCACCAACAACATTTGATTTCAAAACACTAGAAGGTTGCTTGCATGAGTCTCTACAGACTGCAATAAAAGCAGTAAATTACACTAAATCAAATGCAGTTCAAGACAGCCTGTTTCTACAGCTTTGTGAGGAAAATAACAAAGACTTAGTATTGCATACAGAAGTCCATTGGCTGTTCAAAGGTACCGTATATACTCATGTACAAGTCAACCTCATGTATAAATTGAGGGAAGGCTTTAAGGCCAAAATCATGGATTTTGAAATGGCCCATGGATAAGTCAAGGGTAGAATTTAAGAGACAGAAAGTTTTAAGATCAGGTTGAAAGTGGAGAGAAAAAGAGAGAATCTTGATTGTCAGAGGAAATGCAAGGAGGAGGAGGGGAGGAAAGGTTTTGAGATTGGGCTGCAAGCGGAGAAAATGGCGAAATGCAAGGAGAAAGAAAAGTTTGAAAATCGGGTGCAAATGGAGGGAAAATGGGGAAATGCGAGGAGGAGGAGGAGAAGAAAAGGTTTGGAGATCAGATTGAGAAGGGAATCACCTCACACTCATGCCTCACATCTCTTTCAGAAATCACTTCCGAGGCATGGAGAGTGGGGCATCGGGGTTGCTTTTTAAAGGACCTTTATGAGCAATATTACTGTTAGTTGTTGTTGTTGTTAACTGCCCTCCAGTTGATCTCGACCCATGGCGACTGGCTGACCCATATATAAGTTGACCCCAGATTTTAGGACCAATTTTGGGCATAAATTTCTTGACTTATAGTCGAGTATATAGGGTAATTGCTTTTGTTGTTTTGTTGCTTTGTGGGACTCAGCTGTGACATTTTTCAGAAGAAAATGGAAGAAAAGATGACCTCCACAAAATGTGATGCATTTTACCTGTGGGATGTCTTCAAAAAGCTCAATTTGTTAAACAAACCACTATAGGGCAGGAATTACGACCTTTTTTCAAGCAAGGGGATTGATTATTACAGGGCTTCTTGAAAAAGTCAAGCTGTATGCCACCAGTATTGGACATCGAGAATTCACAGAGTTTTCCTCTTCAGCAGCAGTGAGTGATGTAATGAAAGATGATGGAATAATTGTGTGTGTGAATCATTTGTAGCGACTTTGTAATGATATGGAAGTTTGTTTCCATAACCTACTGGACATGTTTATTCTGGCCTGGTACTTGATCCATTTGCTGTGAATGCTGCTGACATTGAATGATCTACATGTAACTACTGGAGAGGTCATCCAAAGCTTTGGGGTGAAGTATCACCAGTATGTGAATAACACCCAACTCTTATCTCTCTTCTTTCTGATTCCAGGGAACCTGTCTCTATTGAACCAATGTCTGCTGTCAGTAATGGACTGGATGAGGGCAAACAAGTGCTTATAGAGCTACAGAGAGACATAACAGCCAGAATAACGTTCAGTCAAGAATAACATCATTTTTTGGATAAAGAGTACAATATCTAAAAAGTTTCCACAGCTTTGGGATAAAGCAAAATTGGTTTTTATGACATTTCCTACTTAGTATTTGTAGAATCAGGTTTTAGTTGTGTTAATTATTTACTCAGCCTAACATGGAGTTGCCTTAACATAATGGAAAGAGGTGATCTTCGATTATCCCTCACAGGAATATGACCGGATATTAAAAAAAAGTTTGTTTCTGGTCATCAACCACAAAGGTCACACTGATCACAAAATACTTAAAAGTATAAATTTTTATGTACAGTTGACCTTCCACATTCAGAGCTTTAATATTTGTGGGTATGATTATTCACAAGTTTGCATGGCTGGGAAGGGTGTGCACACATTCCTCCTCCTCCATCCTGGGCTTCCCCCCCACCCCCAGGAGACAAAGCTGAGGATGGAAAAGCTGGGAAGGGCGCATGTGCTCCTTCTCCTCCTCCATCCTGGGCTTTCCCCTGTATTTGCATCTTTCCAACTTTTGTGTGAATGGAGGGCAGATTGTAATTTATTTTATATAAATTATAACAATTATAAATAAAACATGTTCTATTTACAAACAAAATATTTAAAGCTATTTAACTTCTGAATAACCATTCTGAATAACTATTGGCCAGTCTCTAATACTCCATTCCTGAGCAAAGTGCTGGAGAGAATGGTGGCCTTCCAGCTCCAGGGTTTTTTGGATTAAATTGATTATCTAGATCCATTTCAATCTGGCTTCAGACCGGGCTACAGCAGAGACAGCTTTGGTCGCCTTGGTGGATGACCTACACAAGGAACTGGACAGGGGCAGTGTGTCCCTGTTGGTCCTGCTAGACCTCAGTGGCTTTCAATACCATCAACCATGGTATCTATTTGGGCCGCCTCTCTGGGATGGGACTTGGGGGCACTATTATGCAGTGGTTCCTGTCTTTTTGGGAGGGGCGAATTCAGAAAGTGGTGTTGGGAGACTCCTGTTCAACTCCTTGTCCATTGGCCTATGGGGTTCCTCTGGGTTCTGATTTGTCCTCTATGTTATTTAACATCTACATGTAACCACTGGAGAGGTCATCCAAAGCTTTGGGGTGAAGTATCACCAGTATGTGAATAACACCCAACTCTTATCTCTCTTTTCTTTCTGATTCCAGGGAACCTGTCTCTATTGAACCAATGTCTGCTATCAGTAATGGACTGGATGAGGGCAAACAAATTGAAAATTAATCCAGACAAGACAGAGGTGCTCCTGGTCAGTCATAAGGCTGATCAGGAAATAGGGCCTTTGCCTGTGCTGGATGGATTTACACTACCCCTGAAATCTCAGGCTCACAGCTTGGCTGCTCTCCTGGACTCAACTCTCAACCTGGATGTCCAGGCTTCAGCGATGGCCAGGAGTGCATTTGCACAGTTAAAACTAGTTTGCCAGCTGTGCTAATTCGCTGAGATATCAGATTTGGCTGGGGGCACATGCCTTGAATACATCCCATTTGGACTACTGTAACACACTGTCCATGGGGCTGCTATTTGAAGCTGTTCAGAAACTACAGCGGGTTCAAAATGCCACAACCAGAATACTGACTGGGGCCAGTTATAGATAGCATGTAACTCCCTTATTGAAACAGCTTCACTGGTTACCAGGTCATTTCCAGGCACAATTCAAAGTACCGGTCATGATCAATAAAGCCCTATACAGCTCACTTGGTGAGGACACGAGAGACAGCCTTCGTGGTGGCTGCCCCCACCCTGTGAAACTCCCTTTTACAGGAGGCTAGGCTGGTCCCCTACCTGCTTTCCTTTCACCAGTAAGTAAAAATGTTTTTATTCAAGCAGGCTTTTTAAAATCATGATAGAGTGGCTTTTATATGGGGTGTGTGTTTTAGTTATGTTTTAATTTTTGTATGTTTTTAATGTTAATGTTATACTGTTTTAACTGGATTATTTTAATTGGTTTTAAATTTCTGTGAGAAAATTTTTAAAATCTCCATTCCCTTCAAAAATTATCAAGAGATTTCCTGTTCACATTTGTGTGTAATTGCTGGGAAATTCTGAACTGACACTATGATCTCTCTGAACTGTTTTTCAGCAAGGTCTTTAAAATGATTTATTTCTCCTGTAATCTCTACTCTTAACGAGCCCAGTTTCTTTTCTAAATTCTCATTACTTTCTGTTACAAGTTTATTTAAATCTAAAATCTGGTTAGACTTTAAGGCCTGAATTCCAATGAGTACAGGATCAGTTTTGTCTAGCCCAGCTTTGGAAATTTTTCTGGTGGCCTTGTTTATGGTGTCATGTAAATCACTCTCTTATTTATTTTCCCTTTTCTAAATTATGGCTTCTATTGTGGCTCTTTGCCTTCAAGTTGTTTCCAATTTATGGCAATCCTAGGGGGAACCTATCACAGGATTCTCTTGGCAAGATAGGGATTTTGCCATGGCCTTCCCTGGAGGCTGAGAAAGTGTGACTTACCCAAGGTCATCCAATGGGTTTCCATGGCCAAGTGGGGATTTGAACCCTGGTAACCAGAGTCATAGTCCAAAGCTCAAACCACTATGCCATGCTTAGACTTTTGTTTGCCTTGAGTGTAGAACAGATGGCCAGGAAGGAGGGACCTCTGGACACTGAAGCCACAATCAGGCTAGGACCACAGCGACTGCACAGCCTGCTTCCAAAGCAGACCTCTACCTGCTGTCCCAAGCCAGTGCCACCAGGAGTCAGTTTAAACCAACTCCTTTTTTATTCTTTTTACCTGAGAGAACACCTCTCTAGGAATCTCCAGGTCCCCCAGTGTAACTCTGTGGTCAACACCTGCCAGAAATTGATAATAGAATCATGCTGGAGGACCTACAAATGCCTAGCAGAGGAGTCTTCTGTAGGAACTTCTAGGTTCTCCAGCACAACTCTATGGTCAACTTCTGGCAGAGTTGTGCTGGAGGACCATGAGATTCCTAGAGAGAATGTATTAATCAAAACTGCAAATAATCAAATCCGCAAAAGTCAAAGCCACAACTGTGGAGCTCAACTGTAGTTTGATTTCATTTTTTGAGCACTCTTGCTATGAGCCTGTCCTGGCTCTTAGCTTCATTTAGTTTCACTTGCAAAAAAACCTCTCAATGGAGGCTGCACTTCAAACTTTTAGATATAAATTGTTTATACAAACTCCTACATAATATATCACCATCCTAGTGAAGGATTTCTCCATCCCTGTTCAGCACGGACTAACTAAGATCCTTCAATAATATCGCAAATCTTAGTTTGGAAAAGCTTCTGTCTAGATAATCTTAATAAACCCTTGTGATTCTTCAGTTTTGCAATGGGGAATATTGTAATTTCTAGGGCACAGCTCTCCAGCCCACTCCTGAATTGAAAAGTTATCTAGGAGACTGTGGGTTTAAAAACACTGCAGAAATAATGCAATTTGAGAACACTTTAAGCGTCCTGGCTCAGTGCTAGGGAATTCTGAGAACTGTAGTCTGTTGTGGATCAGAGCTCTCAGAGAGAGGCTGAATATCTCACAAAACTACAACTCCCAGAATTCCCTAGCATTTTGGCAGGGCAGTTAAAGTGGTCTCAAACTGCATTATTTCTGCATTGTGTTTTGGTCCTGTGTCTCTCCCTTCTGAAATCCTTCTGTAAAGATAATAAATTATCCAATGCTAGGAGCAGCACTTAAATCGTACTAATAATAGTTGGTCATCTTGACCAGAGCCACTCCTGCCTTACTTCTGATGTTTCTGGGGAAGTGGGTTACAGTCTATGAAGGTATCTACTAAACAAAGCTTGCCAGGTTCTAAAATTACTGACATTACTGACTACTCTCCAAAACATACTGCAGAAATAATCCACTTGAGACCGCTCTAACTGCCCTGGCTCAATTTATATCCTAGGAACTGTAGTTTTGTGAGACATTTAGCCTTCGCTGTCCAAGAGCTCTGACGCCACAATAAACTACAACTCCCAGAATTCCCTAGCAGAGCCAGGGAAGTTAAAACTGTCTCAAACTGGATTATTTCTGCAGTGTGTTTTGGACCTACCAAACCCCAAAAGTGACAGAAGCTCCAGACTGGATAATCCAGCTTATTCCAATGTAATCTCTCCCTTCCCCCGCAGCTGCTTCCTCAGGCTGGAAGCACATGGCTTGTTTGGAAACAGAGCAACAAACACCCCCACCCTGCACCAACTATGCGAAGGGAGGGTGGAAAACTACCCAAACTAGAAACCGGGGGGGGGGGGGGGGGGGGCGCTGAAAAAGCAAAGGTGGCTCCTACCAAACGGTGCAAAGGTCCAAAACACACTGCAGAAATAATCCGCTTTGAGACCGCCTGAACTGCCCTGGCTCAGGGCTAGTGAATCCTGGGAACTGTAGCTTTGTGAGACATTTAGCTTTCTCTGTCAAAGAGCTCTGGCGCCACAATTAACTACAACTCCCAGGATTCCCTAGCACAGTTGAAACGGTCTCAAACTGGGATTATTTCTGCAGTGTGTTTTGGACCATTAAGACCGCTATGTCCGAGAGCTCTGTTGCCACAATAAACTACAACTCCCAGTATTCCCTAACACTGAGCCAGGGCAGTTAAAGCGGTCTCAAACTGATATTATTTCTGCAGTGTGTTTTAGACCATTAAACCCGCTCTGTCAGAGAGCTCTGGCGCCACAACAAACTACAACTCCCAGGATTCCCTATCACAGAGGCAGGACAGTTAAAGCGGTCTCAAACTGGGATATTTTCAAAGACTCCACGGGCTAAACTCAACGCCTCTTCCCAACCAGAGGAGCCCTTTACGCCAGGGCCCACTTCTCATTCCCTAACTGCCTCGACGGGCGTAGGCCCCAAAGCGTAGGACGGAGCCTAGGCCCGGGTTCGGAAGGAAGGAAGGAAAGAAGGGCCCAGGAGTGGGAAAGGGCAGGGTCGTGGACCTGGGAGCAGCCCAAGAGCCGGGTCCGAGCTCTCTCTGGCTCTTTTTCCCGCCCCTGAGGAGAAGGAGGCGGCTCAGGGCCCGAAGACTCACCCATTCTAGGATTTTGATGAAGCCCAGCGGCTCCTTGGCGGGTCCCAAATTGAGCTGCAGCGCAGACATTTTCTGAGGCAGAAAGGGAACAGGGGCGGAGCCTCTCACACAGAGGAGGGGGGCGCACGCGCGCGGGGGGAAAGGGAGGCACGCCCCGCTCCGCCCCCTTTGGCGTTGCCGCCCTTCCCCCCCCGCGCGCGCGCGCCCCTTCCTCTGTGTAAGAAGCTCCGCCCCTTACGCAAGGGCGTCGGCCTCTTCCTCCTCCTCTGTGTGGCGTTCAGCTCATCCCTCGTTCCTCTTCCGCCACAACTCGCTCCGCCATTTTATTTTCTGGCACCGCGACGCGCGGAGATGGCGGGCCTCGATGGTTTTCGGGCCGACCTGAAGAACGAAGCCTGCCTCCATTTTGGAGGCTGACGAGTATGATTTGGACGAATCTGTAGTCGGCCTCCTCCGTCTTTCTTTAAAGAGAGGACGGACCGGGGAGCTTTGATTAGTGTTCCTAAAGTGGAGAAATTGGGGTTGGACTAGATGGCCCTGGCCTTGGGTCTCTTCCGACTCTGTGTTTCTGCATAGGCCTCGTTCCCCCAATCAATCAATCAAAGCCTTTATTGTAGTCAATAAACCATAAGCATACATAGAACAAAAACAAGGGTAAAACAACAACAGACGCAATAAAACATGAAGTTTACAACACTTAAGACATTTGGGTGGCCACATAAAATAAAATATGAATTATTCCCTTGCCAAATAAATCTTATTAATTCTCTTTTCCAAATTTCTATACTCTTTTCATTATGTATCACAGGAATATTCTGAAAAAGATACATTAGTTTGGGAAGAACATTCATTTTGATCAAAGAGATCCTACTCAGTAATGAAAGATGAAGCTTAGACCATGTAGCTAATTTTTTTGTATTTCCAAATCCCAATATAATTGTTTTCGAACAGATCAGCATTTCTTCTTGTTATTGTTATTCCCAGATATCTTATCTTCTTTTCTATTTTAAATTTAGTTGTTACATACAGAGCTTCTTCTTTTCCGTTCATATTTAATGTTATAATAGAGGTCTTTTCTTCATTTATTTTTAACCCCGCAAGGTCACCAAACTCTTATAAGATGTCTAATAATTATCCTATACTTTGATTAAGATCTTCAAGGAATATTACTAAATCATCAGCATATGCCTTTAGCTTGTATTTATGCCCATTTACAGTTATCCCCTTTATCCTGCTTATCCTCCCTAACTTTGTTGTTAAGCACTTCCAATATCAAAATAAATAATAGGGGGGATAGGGGGCAACCTTGCCTTGTCCCTTTTTCTATTTTTATATAACCAGATCTTTGATCATTAACTATCACTTGAGCCCTTTGGTCTTTATATATCGCTTTTATCCATTCTTCAAAATTGGCTCCAAACTTCATCATTTTTACCGTCTCCTCAATAAAAGTCCAATTTACCTTGTCAAAAGCCTTCTCCGCGTCTATAAAGATCATTGCGGCTTTCCTCTCATTATGCTTTTCGAAGAATTGAACAATATTCAAAACTGTTCTCACATTGTCTTTAACATACCTTCCCGGGAGAAATCCGCTTTGATCTTTGTGGATAATTTTGCTCAGAATCTTTTTTAACCGTTGTGCTATGATAGATGTGAAAATTTTGTAATCCACATTAGTCAGTGATATTGGCCTGAAATTTTTTACCTCCCTACAGTCTTTATCCTCTTTTGGTAATAATGCTATATATGCATCCTTCCAGGTTTCTGGGATGCCCTCCTTTTTGATATCATTAAACACATTTTTAAAAGACCCATTTTCTTGTAAAATACGCTGGAGAAACCATCCGGTCCTGGAGCTTTCCTCACCTTCAACTTCTTTATTGTGATTGATATCTCTTTCTCTGTGAAATCTTTGTTTAGTTCTTTTCTATGTTCCTCACTTATTTGCAATATATTTTGCTTACTTAAATATTCCCTTATTTTCTCTCTATTATTTTTCCTTTCTTTCCCCTCCTTATAAAACTCCTGATAAAAGTTCTCAAATGCTTCTTTGATCTTCTTCTGTAAATATTTTCCCATCTGAGTGTATTTCTGTAATAATTTTCTTATTTCTCTTTGTTCTTATCATATTTGCCAAAAGTTTACTTGGTTTATTTCCCATTTCAAAATGTTTCTGTTTTACATACTGCAGTTTCATTTCCATATCTTTTAAAGTTAAACTTCTTAATTGCATTTCTAGATTTTGCATTTCTAATTTAATCTCTTCATCTCCGTTCTGTTTCCAATCCATCTCTTTCAGATGATCACTATCAGATAAAAGGGGGGGGGGTATATAAAACAAATTTAAATTGGCTCCCATAGAGAAGTATAACTTAAGTTTATCGTTAGGGAAACCAAATTTTCCTTTTCTTACAAGGTCATTTGCTTATGACATATAATTTTCCGAATTGCTGATTGAGTTATACGTCTGTCGTTCCTACTTGAAACCAGTTCCGAACTGACCGCACTTGGTTTCAATCGCAATGAAGCGAAGCAAATGCAAAAGAACCACTCTTTCC